TTTGAGGCCTGGCAGCTGTAGTGCCTAATATTGCCTATTATATTTATTATTACAAGTCCAATCAAATTTGAGGGGGAGGGGCTGGCAAGGCCCCTTAACTACGACACTACATTGACCATAAATGGGAGCAAATTAGTGTTCAAATTGTCAACAGTTGGCAAGACATGTGTCAGTTCTTCCTGTTTACCACAATGACCATAATGTGATTTCCCTACTTATATTGTCTGCTTATCTTTCAATCACTAGTAAACATAGTTTTTTACTTAGCTTATAACCGTAAATCTGGTTTCTTTTGCATAATGGTCATAGTAATTTTACATAGCAATGAGGCATACTAAGTTTCTTGTATTCCTCATTATTATTTTGTTCTTTCTTCTCTTTATTTCTCTTTTTCATTTTCTCATCTAATTCTCTCTCTCTTTAACTTGTCACCACCGTCTACGTAATTCCCAAACAGGAAATTATACAGAATGCTGACGATGCCTGTGCCACAGAGGTCAAGTTCTATTTAGATTGCCGTGTATTACAAACACTCCCACCATCACTATTATCAGTTGTGTGTTCAGAAGCAAATCAGGAGGTGCTATCACAACAGTTCACTGGACCTGCACTCCTTTCCTATAACAATGCTCCTTTCAGGAAAGAAGACCGGGAGAGCATACAGAGTCTTCAGCAGAGCGGCAAAGCTAAGAATCCACACAAAGTTGGAAAGTTTGGAATTGGATTCAATTCTGTGTATCACATTACTGGTAAGAAGAATGTTTGAGAGAAAAACAATCTTGTACAATGTACCTGTAGTGCCATTTTACTTGGAATTATAATGATATTCATGGCTTAAGTGTCACTCATGAATAATCAATTCATTTGTATTTTTAGACCTCCCAGTTATTCTCAGTCAAGATTACTGTGGATTCCTAGAGCCACAAGAATCAGTTTGGAAAGGAGAATCAGGTAAAGGCTATTATCTGGAGAATCTTATTGATGAATGTCCTGAAGTACTGGAACCCTTTGATGGCATTTGTGGTTTCTCTAAAGAATCAACACAGTATAATAATAATACCTTATTTAGATTTCCACTGCGTAACAAAGCCTCAAAATTATCTAGTGAAGTCTATGATATAGACAGGCTTCACAAATTGCTTGAGTCTCTTAAAGAAGAGGCACAATATTTACTTGTTTTCCTTCGTTCTGTTTGCTCCATTGAAATATTCAAAATCACTGAGAGCAATGTCACTGAACCACTGTTTAAAGTGAGTGTAAGTGAAGCAGATTTTGGTTCCCGATTAAAGCAACAGCGACGGTTAGTTAGTCAAGTTGAATCAATATTTTTAGGTGAATTATCACGCACTGTAGGCCAGTTGGTTAATGATACTTCGCATTTTCACATTCACATATCTATTAATGGTAGATTCACATCTGAGCACGAGTGGCTAGTAGTGAATCAGGTGGGCTCTAAAGATGATGAAGTAATGCATCTTGCAGAGAAGCAGCGTGTACTTCCTTGGGTAGGAGCAGCTGTTGATTTGAAAACGAGTTGTTCAGCTGGACGAATCTTTTGCGTATTACCTTTACCTGTAGAGGATCGAGCCCCAATGTGTATTCATGTGAATGGTACATTTGCTGTTAGCAGTAATCGTCGCTCGTTGCAATGGGAGGCCACAAGAAAGGAAAGGAGATGAAGAGGGGATATGGAATAAGTT